AGCAACCCCATTCTGCTGCGGAGAGGCCGGAAGCGTGAACGTCTGGCGGATGCCGTGCTCCGCACAGAAGGCTGCCAAGAGGTAAGAGGAAAACTCACCACCTCTGTCAGAGTGCAGACGCAGGACAGGAAAGTCTGACTGGAAACGCTCGCGGAGCTGGAGACGAACAGCGCGGATCCTGGGGATCAAAACATCAGGGACCTCCCCCTTGCGCTGCAAGGGGAAGACCGTGGTGTAACGCGTGTAGTCGTCGACGACCAGAAGAAAGTACCGCTCGTGGCCCTGTCCATGGACGCGGGCTGGGCCCCACACATCCAGGTGGAGAGTCTGCAGGGGAGCCTCTGTGGGAGGGAACGAGGAGGAGTGAGGAGCGGCGCGCTGTCGCCCCTCGACACAGGGAAGACAGGGAGGAGCAGGCGAGGGTGGTAGAGGAGGCAGAGTCTCTGGAAGTCCAGAGACAAGGAAACGGCGGTGCATGCTACGAAGGCGCTGCACCGAGGGGTGACCAAGGCGGTGGTGCCAAAGGAGGGTCTGGTGCGACAAAGCGCGACACGAGCAGGGGGCCGCTAGCTGACCTGACGCAGACGCAGACGCAGCGACCTGAGGGGACACAGTAGTCAGTGTGTACAGACTCGAGCCAGGCGCACGGGTAATCGTGGCCAGGTGCCGGCCCGTCCGGGAGCACGTATAGTGGGTCACGCGCTGACCTCCAGGAGTGAACTGGTCAACCCACTGGTCCTGGAGGTCAGCACCACTCACCAAGTTCGTAGAGAACGAGGGGAGGTGTAGACCTGACAGGGAGCCAGACGGGACCGCCGGACACGGCAGGACCGTGGAGGAGTGCGCAAGGACTGGACCCCTAGAGGGGTCTGCCAGGGAGACCGCAACCGGCCGACGGAGCGGCGTGAGGGTGGTGCTGTCGCGAAAGAAGGATCGGGAAGCACCTGAGTCAAGTGTGAAGGTGTACAAGGCCTCAGCAGGCGCAGTACCACAGAGAGAAGACTCACCAGCACCTGGAGCAGCAGCCTCACCAGCACCTAGAGCAGGAGACGCACTAGCACCTAGAGCAGCAGCCTCACCAGCACCTAGAGCAGCAGGCTCTATACCTGGGTCAGGCGGTACGCACAGGTAACAGGCACCGTCAGCACTAGTAGGCAATGCATACATGGCAGTGAGAATAGCATCATAGTCAAGAGCAAAGATATCTACCCTCTGCCTAAGCAGCTCCAGCCAGGTGGGGAGCCCAGCCTCGTCGCCAAACTCGGTACGCCAGGCGTCGCTCAAACGGGCGAAGCAGCGGGACTGTGTGTGACCAAGCGTCCCGCAGGCCTGACCAGCCCGATCACCTGTGCGAATGACGTACGGGCAGCGAACGGTACTCCACGACCCTCTACTCTGAGCGTACCACTCGTGAAGCTGCTGGGACGTAAGTGTCTCGCGTGGACGCCGCTGCAGCTGCAGCTGGCCACTGCCAGACGCTCCCAACTGACCAGCTCCAGGGCGACAGCTACGACGGCTACCGCCACAACCCCAACTAGCGTACCACTCACTAAGATGCTGGGGCGTGAGAGACTCGCGTGAACGTCGCTGGAGCTGCATCTGGCCACCGCCAGTAGCAGCAGTAGCAGTAGTAGCAGCAGCAGCAGAAGCAGCAGCCTAGCAGTAGTGACAAAAGGAGCAGCAGTAGCAGCAGTAGCAGCGCGGGCAGGGCAGGCGCGGCAGGCAGGCAGGTAGGCAGGCGTGGCAGGCAGGCAGGCAGGTGGCGCGGCAGTGCGCGAACAAGGCAGGTGCTCACCAGTGGCGGGAAGGGCAGGCGCACGACGGCGGCGACGGCGGGGCTGCGACAGCTGTGGCAGAGCAGGGCCGCGTCGGCGGTAGGGAAGGTCCGCGCTGCTGCAGGGCGGGGACGTGACGGCTGCAGGGCGGGGCCGCGACCGCCGCAGGAGGCTCCGCGGCAGCTGCTGCAGGGCAGGGCCGCGACGGCGGCAGAAGGCTCCGCGGCAGCTGCTGCAGGGCAGGGCCGCGACGGCGGCAGGAGGCCCCGCGGCAGCTGCTGCAGGGCGGGGCCGCGACTGTGGCAGGGCGCTCCGCGGCAGCTGCTGCAGGAGCGACGGCGGCAGTCAGGAAGGGGGGGGGCGGCGTCCAGGGGGGGGGGGCGTCGCGACGAACAGGGGCAGCCGCGGCGCGCGGGGCTGCATCGCGCTACGCGAGCTGCGGGCGCGGCGCGCGAAGCCGCCGCGGGCTGCGCGAGGACGGCAGCCGCGGCGCGCGGGGCTGCGCGAGGACGGCAGCCGCGGCGCGCGGGGCTGCAGCGCGTCGCGCGGGCAGCGGACGCGACGCGCGGGGCTGCAGCGCGACGCGCGGGCAGCGGACGCGACGCGCGGGGGTGCAGCGCGACGCGCGGGCTGTGGGCGCGACGCGCGGGGCGGCGACCTGGCCTGACGCGTCAGCGACCTGGCGGGGCGGTGCTCTGGCCTGACGGGCCTGCAGGGGCGGCTCGCGGGCCTGACGTGTCTGCAAAGGCGGCGCGCGGGCCTTACGGGCCTGCAGGGGCGGCGCTCTGGCCTAGGGCAGCAGTAGGCAGCGCGAGGGCTGCAGGATGGCGCGCGCAGTGCAGCACGTCACAAGGCAAGGCAGGCAGGCAGGCAGGCGCAGGACAACACGTGGGGTAGCGCGGTAACCGCAACGGTAGGTGGGCCCGAAAAAAAAAAACGGTCCTACGGACCTAGTGCTCTAAAACCATGTCAAAATCTAGCAGCAGGAATGGTTGAACTATGAAAATATTGGGTACAAATATGAAACCCTAAAAGGGGTTGTACGGTACCCCATATTGGCTACCCCACTACAGCCTACACATATATAACATGCATATACTTTGACACCGCCGTGTCAGTCGGCCGCCTCCAGGAGTGGTCGCGGGAGTTCATGAAGCTTCTGTACCCGGACAAGAAGTGGAAAGGAAGCCAGAGGTGGTCGGAGCGCTTTCGGCGGCGATGGAATCTGAGCGTCCGCATGAAGACCCGGGTTGCCCAGAAAACCGCCGCGCGTAAGATTTAGGCCGTGTAATTTGCCATGTGGTTTTTAGTTTATTTGTACTAACAAACACCCTCCCTCTGTGTCCGTCCTCTCTTCCACCGTCGTACAGATGTCGCTGAGCAGTGCTAGAGCTTCTGGTCGTTCGTGCGGGCCAAGCGTCGTGAGCGCGGCATCGACACCGCGTGGATCATCAACGCGGACCAGACGCCGCTCTGGCTGGAGATGCCCGCAACCACCACCGTGGAGGAAACAGGTGTTCGCTCGGTGCCTATCAAGAGCGCGGGGTATCAGAAGCAACGAGTGACCGTGATGTTGGCGTGCACGGCGGACGGATTGAAGCTGAAGCCGTGGGTGTTCTTCAAGCGCAAGACCTTGCCGAAGGGCGATTTCCCTGCCGGTAAGTCAAGAGGTGCACTGCTCGTTAAAGCCCGAGTACCACATGGTGTTTTATCAAGTTATGTGGGTTTGAAATAGTGTTGGCGAAACCTGAAAAACAATTATTTCGGCATAGTCAGTGTAGCGAAAAAGCGATTGATTGACGAGGAGGAAAGGGATCTCGCCAAACGCAAAGCTTTGACAAACTTGCAGGGCGGTGTGGGGCGACTGGAAGGAGTGTCGCACGGATTGTTCTTTGACCAATCAGGATCAAGAAGTGGAGAACATCCTCGCCCAATGCAACTACTAGCAAAAACGAAAACGGGAAGCACAAACAACCTCAGAACGAGTGAGGAGAAAAAACACCACGATCAATCAAGCTAACAACTTCACGTGTGAAATAACCGCAGGAAGGAGGTGACGTAGGTGACGAGCCAGAACACGTACATGCTGGGTCACAGGAAGGAGCGTTGAGAAGAACTCGACATCGCGCGATATGGGAGTACTTCGTGTTGTATTAGGCACGTCGATTACCACTGGCAGCACGTAGATCGACGGTTTCGGGGCATTGCTCCCGTAAACTGGGCTCGAAAGTGCCTATTACTTAGGGCAATTCCACGCTGTGGGGCGTCCACACTACGCAGACCCTTAGGGTTACGCAAACGTCACTGGTCGTCTAGCAGCGCGTCGACCCGCAAACGTCCAGCGCGCGCACTGGTCTGGTCGACAAGCAGCGTGGAGAGGGCGCTGGAACGAGGCACCACCACGCCAGGACAGGTACACGTGCTCCGCGCCCCTGCACTCTGCGCTCTGCCCCCTGCGCTCTGTGTTCTGCCCCCGGCCTTCTTCCCCCTGCGCTCTGTCCCCTGCGCTCTGCGTTCTGCCCCCTCCGCTCTGCGTTCTGCCCCCTGCGCTCTGCCCCCTCCGCCCCCTGCGCTCTGCCCCCTCTGCTCTGCGCTCTGCGCCCTACGCTCTGCGCCCTACGCTCTGCGCCCTGCGCTCTGCGCCCTGCGCTCTGCGCCCTGCGCTCTGCGCCTTGCGCTCTGCGCCCTGCGCTCTGCGCCCTGCGCTCTGCGCTCTATGCTCTGCGCCCTATGCTCTGCGCCCTATGCTCTGCGCCCTATGCTCTGCGCCCTATGCTCTGCGCCATATGCTCTGCGCCCTATGCTCTGCGCCCTATGCTCTGCGCCCTATGCTCTGCGCCCTATGCTCTGCGCCCTATGCTCTGCGCCCTATGCTCTGCGCCATATGCTCTGCGCCCTATGCTCTGCGCCCTATGCTCTGCGCCCTATGCTCTGCGCCCTATGCTCTGCGCCCAATGCTCTGCGCCCTATCCTCTGGTTCCTATTCCCCTTCTCGCCAAACCTCCACCCGCCCCCGCCCCTTTCCAACCCCTACCCCTCATGGTTGTCCCCTTCCTCCCTTTCCCCCACCCGTTTTCTTCCTCCCGCATGAGGCAGGGAGGGAGGGCAGGAGAAAGGAATTCGAGGCGGGAGTGTCGTCCACTGCGGCATGTCTCAACCTCTCATGTGTGTCCCGCCCCTCCCCCTCTCCCCCTCCCCCCCTCCTCCTTCCTTTCTCTCTGCCAGCCGCGCCATTCCCCTGTTCCTCCTCGCAGGGGGGGTGGCGCACAACATAGCGGAGTGCATGGCAGCACTCTCCGCCACGCCCTTCCTCATCTCCGCCGTGGGGGATGACGCTGCAGGCAGGTCGCAATGCTGCTCTGCTCTGCTCCCCATGCCACTCCCCTCCTCCTCTCCTGCTCCCCTCCAGCCTGCCACTCCCGTCCCTCAAGTCCACCCCCCCCCCTCTCTCACGGCCCTCTAGGCCCATGGCCCACCCTTTCTTCCCCTCATCCGTGCTTCCCCACATTTCCCTCCCTGCTTCTCCTCAGTTCCCCCCTTGCTTCCCCTCATTTCCATCCCTGCTTCCCCTCATTTCCATCCCTGCTTCACCTCATTTCCATCCCTGCTTCACCTCATTTCCATCCCTGCTTCACCTCATTTCCATCCCTGCTTCACCTCATTTCCCTCCCTGCTTCACCTCATTTCCATCCCTGCTTCACCTCATTTCCATCCCTGCTTCACCTCATTTCCATCCCTGCTTCCCCTCATTTCCATCCCTGCTTCACCTCATTTCCATCCCTGCTTCACCTCATTTCCATCCCTGCTTCACCTCATTTCCATCCCTGCTTCACCTCATTTCCATCCCTGCTTCACCTCATTTCCCTCCCTGCTTCACCTCATTTCCCTCCCTGCTTCACCTCATTTCCCTCCCTGCTTCACCTCATTTCCCTCCCTGCTTCACCTCATTTCCCTCCCTGCTTCACCTCATTTCCCTCCCTGCTTCACCTCATTTCCCTCCCTGCTTCACCTCATTTCCCTCCCTGCTTCACCTCATTTCCCTCCCTGCTTCACCTCATTTCCCTCCCTGCTTCACCTCATTTCCATCCCTGCTTCACCTCATTTCCATCCCTGCTTCACCTCATTTCCATCCCTGCTTCACCTCATTTCCATCCCTGCTTCACCTCATTTCCATCCCTGCTTCACCTCATTTCCATCCCTGCTTCACCTCATTTCCCTCCCTGCTTCACCTCATTTCCCTCCCTGCTTCACCTCATTTCCCTCCCTGCTTCACCTCATTTCCCTCCCTGCTTCACCTCATTTCCCTCCCTGCTTCACCTCATTTCCCTCCCTGCTTCACCTCATTTCCCTCCCTGCTTCACCTCATTTCCCTCCCTGCTTCACCTCATTTCCCTCCCCGCTTCCCCTCATTTTCCACGCTGCTGGCCCCTCATTTCCCTCCCTGCTTTCCCTGTTTGTACCTGCTTCCCCTCATTTCCCCCCTGCTTCCCCTCATTTCCCCCCTGCTTCCCCTCATTTCCCCCGCTGCTTCTCCTCGAATCCTCCTCCGCTTCCCAGGATTTCCCCCTCTGTTACCCCTCGTTTTCCCCCCTTGCTTTCCCTCGTTTCCCCCCCTGCTTCCCCTCGTTTCCCCCTCTTCTTCACCTCGTTTCATCTTCCTATCTCTCACTTTCCCTCTCCCCCTCTTCCTATCTCCCCTCTTCCCTATCCTCCCTCTTCTTACGGTACTTCCTTCTTTCCCTCTCAGCCCTGCTTCCCTCTTCCCCCTCTTCCCTATCTCCCCTGTTTGACTTTAGTCTTGTTCCCCCTCCCCATCCCTCGTATTCCCTCCCTCTCCCTGGGTAGTGCAGTGACACCAATGAAGAGTTTCTGGCACAGCAACTCGCCGAAGCCCATCATCCCATGCCACGCTCGTAGTGAAACCAGTTCCCCTCATGTTTTTTTCAAGGCCTTAAGAAGGGTACAATCAAAAAGTATCAGGATCATGCCTCTATCTACCCTTCTGACACTCTTAGTCCCCATGCATCTTGGAAGAATATATTGCACTGCAGAAACAAAATTACATATTGTGCTTTTGAGATGGATATCTCCAACAGTAATACAGTATCATGCTTGCATACAACAGGCAAGAAACAGGTGGTGGTACGGTGTAAAGCATGGACTAGCTCTAGCTGCGCCTCAGCTTGCTCCTCTGCTTCACCACTGAAAATTTGGGGAGTGGAGTAGGCAGAAAGAATTGTGTGACGGAACATGGGGGGGGTGGTGTGAGGTGCCAAGGGAACAACTGCAGGGGAACACAAGCAAGAGCACATGATGAAAGCATGTACTGGTATGGGGAGACAGTGATGGGTGCACATGCATGGGAACTAAAGGGCGGAAGGTGAGGGGGAAGGGGAGGGCATGACATGAAAGGGAAGGGTTGAGAAGGGATGGAGAAGGGAAGGGCAGGGCAGGGAGGGAAAGGCGGGGATGGGGAGGGCAGGTGGGAACAGGGGAGAGGGTGAGGGGAAGGAGGGCTGCGGGTGGCGGGAAGGAGAGTGCGAGTGCGAGAGGACGGAGAGAGAGAGAGTGCGAGAGGACTGAGAGAGTGAGTGCGGGAGGAAGGAGAATGAGAGTGATGGGAGGCAGCAGGGAAGGGGATGGGGGGAAGCAGGGAAGGGGAGGGCAGGTGGGAACAGGGGAGAGGGTGAGGGGAAGGAGGGCTGAGGGTGGCGGGAAGGAGAGTGCGAGTGCGAGAGGACGGAGAGAGAGAGAGAGAGCGCGAGAGGACTGAGAGAGTGAGTGCAGGAGGAAGGAGAATGAGAGTGATGGGAGGAAGCAGGGGAGGGGATGGGGGGAAGCAGGGAAGGGGATGGGGGGAAGCAGGGAAGGGGATGGGGGGAAGCAGGGAAGGGGATGGGAGGAAGGAGGGAAGGGGATGGGAGGAAGGAGGGAAGGGGATGGGGGGAAGCAGGGAAGGGGATGGGGGAAAGCAGGGAAGGGGATGGGGGGAAGCAGGGAAGGGGATGAGGGGAAGCAGGGAAGGGGATGGGGGGAAGCAGGGGAGGGGATGGGGGGAAGCAGGGAAGGGGATGGGGGGAAGCAGGGAGGGGGATGGGGGGAAGCAGGGGAGGGGATGGGGGGAAGCAGGGAAGGGGATGGGGGGAAGCAGGGAAGGGGATGGGGGGAAGCAGGGGAGGGGATGTGGGTGACTAAGGGAGGTGAGGGCGGCGAGGATCGGTGCGGGTCGACGAGGGTGATGAGGGGAGCGCGGGTGACGATCTGAAGCGCGGTATGTTTACTATCAGCAATTGCGACGAGGGGATGTGTGGTTGACGTGGGAAAGCGCGGGCGACTAGGGGAACATATGCGACCAGAGGGTCGGGGAGGGTGATGAGGGAAAGCGCGGGCGACGAGGAAAGCGGTCTGACGTGGGAAAGAGCGGCCGACAAGGAGGAACATGTGCGACTAACGGCTGAGTGCGTCACGCGAACCACTACGGCATTCGCGTGAGCGACCCGTGCCTAAAACGGTACGATCGTGACACGAGGCTGAACCGCAGCAAGTGTGACAAGAGCCTGCGTGTGCGACGCGAGCTTGAATGCAAGACTCGAGTAACGCGAATCTCGTTTACTAACGTAAGTGCCGTGGGTGCCCGGGTTGTAACACGAGACTGGTGACGCGAGGGAGAGATCGGAGCGTGCACTGACTAAGATGGTTGAGGTGGACTTATATTTATTTCCGCACAAAAAAAAAGCCTATCAACGACTCGCTTTTGCCAACTAGCGCTAGTTTTTGCCTTGGAGCCTCCTAGCCTATGAGTACTACTTGGTAAGCAAGTTATGTGAGTGGTGAACTGTGCATATGGTTGGCGATCATCGCGTCAGTTCTGGTTTTGGGCACTCGGGTTCCGTTGTCGCAGGACGATTGCCTGAGTTTTTTCAAAACAAGCAGGGTAACCCTGTTTTTGGCGACTTCAAGTTCAAGAATCTTGAACTTGAAAATTACCATGCTGTACTCGGGCTTTAACGGCGTGCTGTTTTAATTTCGAATTCTAGTTAGTCAGGTAGGTGTACATACCAGGTCACAAGTCAGTCTTCTTTTTTACCGTCCTCTTCTACCCGTAATAATCCACTTCATATCGTTTCTATACACCCCAGAAACCATGCTGCTGTTCAACAATAATGACTCAAAATTTGATTAATGCCAACACAGGTGATTTTTTATATTATTATGGTACGTCCACATTTTATTTTCAGAAAAGCTTGGGAAACTGGAAGAATGGCTTTGGCTCCTCGTATTGGGCCTCCAGCACCGCAATTGTCTCGTCGATGTGCTTCTCTGGTTGAAACTGGTTGTTAAATATGAGCTGCAGTAAGCAAACGGGTATGCAAATGTCAGAACGGATAATACTGCCGAAGAAAATAATGAGTAGTTTGCAGCGACTTACCTGCACGACGCCCTTCTTGTCGATCACATAGGTTTGACGCCCAGGAAGGACCCCAAACAAATCACTGGGGACGCCCCACTCCTTGCGCACAGCGTTGCCCTCGTCAGACAATAGAGTGAAGGGTAGGCTGTACTTCTCGGCGAACAGCTGCAAGATAAGAAGAGCGTGAGAAGGGCGTTAGTAGTTGACACTGGATGTCAATCCTCCTGGAAGCAATTCACCATATTATCAGCAAGCACCTTGTGCGACTCGGGCGAATCGCCGCTGATTCCGACAACTTCAGCACCTAATTTCCGGAATTCCTCAAAGGAGTCACGGAACGAGCATGCCTGCAGCATCAATAAGTGTGTTAGACAAATATGACGGAAATGGGCTACACAACAGTGAGTTCGAAGAGCTGACGAAGCGTGAACATGCACCTGCTTGGTGCATCCAGGAGTGTCATCGGCGGGATAAAAATAAAGAACCACGCTCTTCTTCCCTTTGAGCTTGGCCAAGTCGAACACGCGACCATTCTGGTCGGCCAGGCTCAGAGGCGGGGCCTCGTTCCCAACGGAAACCTGAATTCATGCATAAAATGACACCATCTTTTTTAGCAGCTGCGACTAGGACTGATTACACCATGCATGCGCAACTTGTGTGAAAGCCGAACCTTGGCGACGACATGGTTAGACCGCTTAGAAACGAACGCTGAAGTCTGCCGCTTGCTGACGGCCTTGAAATTGAGATTTCCGCCAACGAAAGAAGATCCTGAGAGATTCGAAACGCCTTTCACAGCTGGGAAGACCTGCGCGACGCAACTTCTCGAAGAAGGAACGACATTGCAAAGCGCAACGGAGCTAAGAGCAGCCATGACGTAACGACAATGACTCACTACAATTCAGTGACTGGGAATAAGAAAGCGAGTCTTCCCGAATAAGAATGATTAGCGAGCGATGAGCAAAAGACGACGGCACTTGACTGGACGAGATCGAAAGAGCAGATCGAGAGCGTTCCAGCCATTTTGGAGGGCCACGTATAGAAGGACACGTGGGGTTCATGTTCGTTCAACTTCGCTAGCCAATTGTGCCCACTTTACAGTCCACCTGTGGTTGCGGACACGTACAGTCTGAACCTTCTGAAGCAGGAATCGCTACTGCTTGATTAAGAGTGAATACAAGGCGAACCCAAAAGGCATCTTACTGTGAACTTCTTATTTCCTAGCAGTAACAGAAAAAATAGGACAGCATTCTGGTGGCAACAGAAATTTATATAGTGTTGAACCTTGAAAATTGTGTTTTCCGGCACGCATATTAGTATCACCGCTCTCTGCCGCCGCCTGCCTTACCCTTCGGTTGTCCTCTCCCCTTGCTGGCAGGGCCCTTACCCTTCCTGCCCTTGCCCTTCCTGGCATTAGCCTTGTCAGCACGCAGGTCCTTCTTCATGCGCCGGTCCACCATGATGCTGTTCTTCACACCACGCCCGCGGTTGCCCTGCTGCCCCTTCTTCGCCACCACCACGATCTTCTTGGGTGGCCGCTCCGACGCCACCTTGCTGTAGGCGCGCTGCATGAGGCGCCCCTTGGACCGCTCGTTCAGGTCCGGCTGCTCCGAGATGGCCGTCGCCTTCTGCCGCGCCGCCTCCACCTGCTTCATCAGCCGCCGCCGCTTCCGGCCCTTCGCCTCCGCCACCTGCAGCGGCGGGGAGTGGGGGGGGAGGAAGAGGGCAGATGAGAAGGGAGTAAGACGGAGAGACAGCCAAGGAAAGAGTTGCCAGGGACGGTGCCCGTGCGGCAATCAACATCGTAGCACAAGTAGAGGCAAGTGGTACAGTCATCTCACGGGCTGCTCACCTTCTTGGTGGGGCGGGCGTTGATGGCGCGGAACTGGGCCTTGAGCTCGAGCACCTCGTCCTTGCTGATGGGCTTCAACGGCACCATGTGGCGCCGCTCGTCATCCGCAAACCACTTGGGCAGCGCCTTGGCGTCGTCGTCAAACATGTACCGGTTGTACGCATCGTCCACCACCTCGTCTCTCTCTCGCTTCCTCAGCATCCTCCTCGCATACGCCAGTGTCTCCGCCTTGCTGTCGCTGTCCCACTCCTCCTCCTCCTCCTCCCCCATCGCCCCCCCTCCATGCCCCCCTGCAGCGCCCCCACCCCCCGTGCGTGCATGCCTGGCCCCCCTGTGCCCGCCATGTGGCCCCCCACGGCTGTCACTGTCGCTGTCAGAGCTGTCATCCGAGCTGTCCCCCTCGCTGCCACTCAGCCTCTCCTCCGGCACCACCTCAAACCCCGCCTCGTCCTCCTGCTGCTTCCCCCCCCATGGCCTCTTGCCCATGCCTTTCTCGCCATCTTCCTCGCCTCCTCCAGTCGCGCCACAAGGCACAGCCGTCTCAGTTAGTGCAGCTTTCACCTTGCCAGCTTTGCTCTTCCTTGCTGCCTCTCCACCCTTCCCATCACCTGCCATGCCCGTTACTCCCCCATCATCAACGTCTGCCACCTCCCCTTCCTCTTCCTCTACTTCCCCCTCCTCTTCCCCCTCCTCCCTCACCACCACCCTTTCACTACCCTTCCTCACCTTCTTCTCTCCTCGCTGCTTCTCCTCCACCCCTCCTTTCACTGCCCCGTCACCTCCTATCCTCCCAGCCTTGTGCGCCACTGCACCCATCTTCTGCACCCCACCGCCCGCACTGCTCCCCTTCGCCCCCTCCTGCGGCTCCTGCGCTGCCGCGCCCACCAGGTCGAGCCCCTCAAAGAGGTCCTGGGTGAACCACTGCGCCTGCACGCGCTCACTCGCACTGCTCTCACCCAGCCGCACCACCAGCGGGTTCTCCTCCTCCTCGCCCTCCTCCCCGATGTGCACCAGCGCCGCCTCCTCCTCCCCCCCTTCCTCCCCCTGCGCCCCGGCGACCTCCTCCCCCTGGCCCTCCAGCGCCATGAGGCGAGCGCGGGCCTTGCGGCGCTTGCTGCTGGCGGTGGCCTTGCAGTAGTGCTCGTACGCCGTGTCAAAGTAGGACTCCAGCTCCGCATCGTACCTGCCCACAGGGGAAGGGGAGGGAACGAGTGGAGAGATGAGTTGGACAGGAGGAAATGAGCCGAGAAGAGAAGGACGCTAACAAAATGAGCCGTGAAGGGAGCGAGGACTGGTGGAATGAGAGAGACACGGAGAAGCCATGGGAGTTCCTCACATGCCACCATGCCTCACATGCCACCATGCCTCACATGCCACCATGCCCCACATGCCACCATGCCTCACATGCCACCATGCCTCACATGCCACCATGCCTCACATGCCACCATGCCCCACATGCCACGATGCCTCACATGCCACCATGCCTCACATGCCACCATGCCCCACATGCCACCATGCCCCACATGCCACCATGCCTCACATGCCACCATGCCTCACATGCCACCATGCCCCACATGCCACCATGCCCCACATGCCACCATGCCTCACATGCCACCATGCCTCACATGCCACCATGCCTCACATGCCACCATGCCCCACATGCCACCATGCCTCACATGCCACCATGCCTCACATGCCACCATGCCCCAGATGCCACCATGCCCCACATGCCACCATGCCCCACATGCCACCATGCCCCACATGCCACCATGCCCCACATGCCACCATGCCCCACATGCCACCATGCCCCACATGCCACCATGCCCCACATGCCACCATGCCTCACATGCCACCATGCCCCACATGCCACCATGCCCCACATGCCACCATGCCCCACATGCCACCATGCCTCACATGCCACCATGCCCCACATGCCACCATGCCTCACATGCCACCATGCCCCACATGCCACCATGCCCCACATGCCACCATGCCCCACATGCCACCATGCCCCACATGCCACCATGCCCCACATGCCACCATGCCCCACATGCCACCATGCCCCACATGCCACCATGCCCCACATGCCACCATGCCTCACATGCCACCATGCCCCACATGCCACCATGCCCCACATGCCACCATGCCTCACATGCCACCATGCCTCACATGCCACCATGCCCCAGATGCCACCATGCCCCACATGCCACCATGCCCCACATGCCACCATGCCCCACATGCCACCATGCCCCACATGCCACCATGCCCCACATGCCACCATGCCCCACATGCCACCATGCCCCACATGCCACCATGCCCCACATGCCACCATGCCCCACATGCCACCATGCCCCACATGCCACCATGCCCCACATGCCACCATGCCCCACATGCCACCATGCCCCACATGCCACCATGCCCCACATGCCACCATGCCCCACATGCCACCATGCCCCACATGCCACCATGCCTCACATGCCACCATGCCCCACATGCCACCATGCCCCACATGCCACCATGCCTCACATGCCACCATGCCCCACATGCCACCATGCCCCACATGCCACCATGCCTCACATGCCACCATGCCCCACATGCCACCATGCCTCACATGCCACCATGCCCCACATGCCACCATGCCCCACATGCCACCATGCCTCACATGCCACCATGCCCCACATGCCACCATGCCCCACATGCCACCATGCCTCACATGCCACCATGCCCCACATGCCACCATGCCCCACATGCCACCATGCCTCACATGCCACCATGCCCCACATGCCACCATGCCCCACATGCCACCATGCCCCACATGCCACCATGCCCCACATGCCACCATGCCCCACATGCCACCATGCCTCACATGCCACCATGCCCCACATGCCACCATGCCCCACATGCCACCATGCCCCACATGCCACCATGCCAATGCACATGCCCCACATGCCACCATGCCCCACATGCCACCATGCCCCACATGCCACCATGCCCCACATGCCACCATGCCCCACATGCCACCATGCCCCACATGCCACCATGCCCCACATGCCACCATGCCCCACATGCCACCATGCCCCACATGCCACCATGCCCCACATGCCACCATGCCTCACATGCCACCATGCCCCACATGCCACCATGCCCCACATGCCACCATGCCTCACATGCCACCATGCCCCACATGCCACCATGCCCCACATGCCACCATGCCTCACATGCCACCATGCCCCACATGCCACCATGCCCCACATGCCACCATGCCCCACATGCCACCATGCCCCACATGCCACCATGCCCCACATGCCACCATGCCTCACATGCCACCATGCCCCACATGCCACCATGCCCCACATGCCACCATGCCCCACATGCCACCATGCCTCACATGCCACCATGCCCCACATGCCACCATGCCCCACATGCCACCATGCCCCACATGCCACCATGCCCCACATGCCACCATGCCCCACATGCCACCATGCCCCACATGCCACCATGCCCCACATGCCACCATGCCCCACATGCCACCATGCCCCACATGCCACCATGCCTCACATGCCACCATGCCCCACATGCCACCATGCCCCACATGCCACCATGCCCCACATGCCACCATGCCCCACATGCCACCATGCCCCACATGCCACCATGCCCCACATGCCACCATGCCCCACATGCCACCATGCCCACATGCCACCATGCCCCACATGCCACCATGCCCCACATGCCACCATGCCCCACATGCCACCATGCCTCACATGCCACCATGCCCCACATGCCACCATGCCCCACATGCCACCATGCCCCACATGCCACCATGCCCCACATGCCACCATGCCCCACATGCCACCATGCCCCACATGCCACCATGCCCCACATGCCACCATGCCCCACATGCCACCATGCCCCACATGCCACCATGCCCCACATGCCACCATGCCCCACATGCACCATGCCACCATGCCCCACATGCCACCATGCCCCACATGCCACCATGCCCCACATGCCACCATGCCCCACATGCCACCATGCCCCACATGCCACCATGCCCCACATGCCACCATGCCCCACATGCCACCATGCCTCACATGCCACCATGCCCCACATGCCACCATGCCCCACATGCCACCATGCCCCACATGCCACCATGCCCCACATGCCACCATGCCCCACATGCCACCATGCCCCACATGCCACCATGCCTCACATGCCACCATGCCCCACATGCCACCATGCCCCACATGCCACCATGCCCCACATGCCACCATGCCTCACATGCCACCATGCCCCACATGCCACCATGCCCCACATGCCACCATGCCTCACATGCCACCATGCCCCACATGCCACCATGCCCCACATGCCACCATGCCCCACATGCCACCATGCCCCACATGCCACCATGCCCCACATGCCACCATGCCTCACATGCCACCATGCCCCACATGCCACCATGCCCCCCCACATGCCACCATGCCCCACATGCCACCATGCCCCACATGCCACCATGCCCCACATGCCACCATGCCCCACATGCCACCATGCCCCACATGCCACCATGCCCCACATGCCACCATGCCCTCACATGCCACCATGCCCCACATGCCACCATGCCCCACATGCCACCATGCCCCACATGCCACCATGCCCCACATGCCACCATGCCCCACATGCCACCATGCCCCACATGCCACCATGCCCCACATGCCACCATGCCCCACATGCCACCATGCCTCACATGCCACCATGCCCCACATGCCACCATGCCCCACATGCCACCATGCCCCACATGCCACCATGCCCCACATGCCACCATGCCCCACATGCCACCATGCCCCACATGCCACCATGCCCCACATGCCACCATGCCCCACATGCCACCATGCCCCACATGCCACCATGCCCCACATGCCACCATGCCCCACATGCCACCATGCCTCACATGCCACCATGCCCCACATGCCACCATGCCACCATGCCCCACATGCCACCATGCCCCACATGCCACCATGCCTCACATGCCACCATGCCCCACATGCCACCATGCCCCACATGCCACCATGCCCCACATGCCACCATGCCCCACATGCCACCATGCCCCACATGCCACCATGCCTCACATGCCACCATGCCCCACATGCCACCATGCCTCACATGCCACCATGCCCCACATGCCACCATGCCCCACATGCCACCATGCCCCACATGCCACCATGCCTCACATGCCACCATGCCCCACATGCCACCATGCCCCACATGCCACCATGCCCCACATGCCACCATGCCCCACATGCCACCATGCCCCACATGCCACCATGCCTCACATGCCACCATGCCCCACATGCCACCATGCCTCACATGCCACCATGCCCCACATGCCACCATGCCCCACATGCCACCATGCCCCACATGCCACCATGCCTCACATGCCACCATGCCCCACATGCCACCATGCCTCACATGCCACCATGCCCCACATGCCACCATGCCCCACATGCCACCATGCCCCACATGCCACCATGCCCCACATGCCACCATGCCTCACATGCCACCATGCCCCACATGCCACCATGCCCCACATGCCACCATGCCCCACATGCCACCATGCCCCACATGCCACCATGCCCCACATGCCACCATGCCTCACATGCCACCATGCCCCACATGCCACCATGCCCCACATGCCACCATGCCCCACATGCCACCATGCCCCACATGCCACCATGCCTCACATGCCACCATGCCCCACATGCCACCATGCCCCACATGCCACCATGCCCCACATGCCACCATGCCCCACATGCCACCATGCCCCACATGCCACCATGCCTCACATGCCACCATGCCCACATGCCACCATGCCCACATGCCACCATGCCCCACATGCCACCATGCCCCACATGCCACCATGCCCCACATGCCACCATGCCTCACATGCCACCATGCCCCACATGCCACCATGCCCCACATGCCACCATGCCCCACATGCCACCATGCCCCACATGCCACCATGCCCCACATGCCACCATGCCCCACATGCCACCATGCCCCACATGCCACCATGCCCCACATGCCACCATGCCCCACATGCCACCATGCCCCACATGCCACCATGCCCCACATGCCACCATGCCCCACATGCCACCATGCCCCACATGCCACCATGCCCCACATGCCACCATGCCCCACATGCCACCATGCCCCACATGCCACCATGCCCCACATGCCACCATGCCCCACATGCCACCATGCCCCACATGCCACCATGCCCCACATGCCACCATGCCCCACATGCCACCATGCCCCACATGCCACCATGCCCCACATGCCACCATGCCCCACATGCCACCATGCCTCACATGCCACCATGCCCCACATGCCACCATGCCCCACATGCCACCATGCCCCACATGCCACCATGCCCCACATGCCACCATGCCCCACATGCCACCATGCCATGCCCCACATGCCACCATGCCCCACATGCCACCATGCCCCACATGCCACCATGCCCCACATGCCACCATGCCCCACATGCCACCATGCCCCACATGCCACCATGCCCCACATGCCACCATGCCCCACATGCCACCATGCCCCACATGCCACCATGCCCCACATGCCACCATGCCCCACATGCCACCATGCCCCACATGCCACCATGCCCCACATGCCACCATGCCCCACATGCCACCATGCCCCACATGCCACCATGCCCCACATGCCACCATGCCCCACATGCCACCATGCCCCACATGCCACCATGCCCCACATGCCACCATGCCCCACATGCCACCATGCCCCACATGCCACCATGCCCCACATGCCACCATGCCCCACATGCCACCATGCCCCACATGCCACCATGCCCCACATGCCACCATGCCCCACATGCCACCATGCCCCACATGCCACCATGCCCCACATGCCACCATGCCCCACATGCCACCATGCCCCACCCACATGCCACCATGCCCCACATGCCACCATGCCCCACATGCCACCATGCCCCACATGCCACCATGCCCCACATGCCACCATGCCCCACATGCCACCATGCCCCACATGCCACCATGCCCCACATGCCACCATGCCCCACATGCCACCATGCCCCACATGCCACCATGCCCCACATGCCACCATGCCCCACATGCCACCATGCCCCCACATGCCACCATGCCCCACATGCCACCATGCCCCACATGCCACCATGCCCCACATGCCACCATGCCCCACATGCCACCATGCCCCACATGCCACCATGCCCCACATGCCACCATGCCTCACATGCCACCATGCCCCACATGTCACCATGCCCCACATGCCACCATGCCTCACCTCCTCTTGTCTGCATCGCTGTCATCATCGTCACTCCCCTCCCCCACGTCCTCGTCCTCCTCGTCCTCGTCGCTCTCCTCCCTCTCCATGGCCGCCATCTCCTCGGCATCCGGTGCCTCCGTGTCATCCACGCCGCTCAGCTGCTTGCGCTGCCACCAGGTCACCCAGGGGCGATCGCCATGGGGAGAGACCGAGGGAGGGAGTGAAAGGGGGTCAGTTGGAGGGAGAGGTGGGGCAAGGGAGGGCGGGGAAGAAGGGTGATGTTAGAGCAACTGCAATTGGGCGTGGACAGACAGGTTAGGAAAAGGAAAACTGGAAGCAATGGATGGGGCGGTAGGGAGAGAGGGGGGCAAGAAAATGAGGGGGAGATTCTGTGAGCACAAGTGAATGAGAGAGATGAAGGAGTGATGAAAGACAGCGAGCCGTGTGAAGGGGGCGAAGAGGAGGGCTGCGAGGCACCTTGATGGCAGAGAGGGCGAAGAGGCACCTTGATGGCAGTGAGGGCGAAGAGGCACCTTGATGGCAGTGAGGGCGAAGAGGCACCTTGATGGCGGTGAGGGCGAAGAGCTCGTCGTCAGCAGCGATGTCGGTGTCGCCCAGCGCATCCACCTTCATGCCCGTCGCCGTGCGCACCTTGCTCTAAGCCACTCAAGGCGTGCGGGCAGGGGAGTTTGGGAGCATGGGAGGGCGGGCGTGGGAAGGTTGAGGAGGAGGGCTGTCGAAGGTGCGGGTGGGGTGATGCGTTCTTTAGCGCAGCACACTCCAAGCGCCTTCCTCGGCAAGCCATCACAGCACCGTGTGCACAAGCCATCACAGCACCGTGTGCACAAGCCATCACAGCACCGTGTGCAATGGCACCCCACACCCGCCCCTCGCTCCTACTTTCACCTCCCTCTGGCATTTCTCCACAACACCTAGCCCCCCCACCTCCTCCCTCGTCTCATCGCCTCCCCCCCACCTTCTCGCGGCGGCGCTTGTCGGCTTTGAGCTTGAGGCGGCGCCTGGCGCCCAGCAGGTCCTTCAGCTCCGCCAACTCCTCCTCCACCCCCGCCTCCTCCCGCTCCCTCCGCGCCTCCTCCCCCTCCTCCCCCTCCTCTGCCGCCCCGCCCTCATCCCCTTCCCCCCCTTCCTCCTCCGCGCCATCCACCTCCCCTTCCGCCCGCTTGTCCTGCCGAACCAGCTCTGGAAGGTCCTTGCGAATCTTGAGGCGCCACCTGGCAGCACATGGTTGGATAATGCAGAGAGGGCGAGGGGCGAGAGAGAAAGGCTGTCAGGGCCGTGCAACGCAGGCAGCTGACGGGAGCAACGCGACAGGGGAATGTTGATGCACACTGAGTGGCAATGAAGCATCCGGCACTGTGTGGGTTGAGGCGGTGAGTGGTGGGGAACGAAAGAGGTGACGCTCACTCACCTGCTACACTCATTCCAGCAGAACCCTCACTTGAGCACCAGCGAGCTTAAGTTGCAGGCACATAGTGACAGAACGGCACCTACTTGGTGCTCCACGGCACTCACTTGAGCAGCTGCTTGAAGTCTCTCTTGCCCAGAATGCGCAGGTCCTTGCACAGCTCGTGGATCTGCCACCCATGGCGCGTGGCCGCCAGGAGGGGGGGGGGGAAGAGGGGGCATGGCATGGCAGTAAGTTACAGCAACTGCTGTGCCAGTTACCACAAGAGCAACGGGAGCAGCAGCAGGTGTCACATGGCCGTGCCTCTCCTCACCTCGGGGGTGCCTCTCTCACCTCGGGCGTGGTGAGCGGGTGGTCGATGACGGGCTGGGCGAACGGCAAGTCAAACGTGATCTCGTGGAAGGTTCCCAGAAAGGCGACGGCGTTGTCGGTGGTGAGGAAGTCCGGCAGCGGCGCGCGCTTGTGCACCACACTCTGCCCCTCCTCGTACCTGGTGTGGTGCCAAGGGGGGGGTGGCACGGGTGCAGGGCAGGAAGGCGCGGCGGAGATGAGGCAAGTGGTGCAAGAGGGTTGTGCAGCGCTGCTTGGAGCGCATGCAGGCAGCACAGCAGAGAGGCAGCGATGGTTGGCATGGGTGGTGTGGCACGGCACGGTGCATGGGTGTGGTGGCATCTCAAACACTTGTCCCTCCTCAACTGCTACTCCCACCCCTCCCTACTATCATCTCAAACACTTGTCCCCACTTCTTCTCTCCTCCCCCCCCACGTCATCTCATCTCCCTGTTCATCTCATTCCTCCACTCATTTCTCCCCACTCTCCCTTCCCTCCAGCCCCCTCACCCCTCCCCCTGACACGGCCAGGCACTCACCCGTCCCCCTGGCACGGGCAGGCACTCACCCCTCTCTGCTTCGCTTGCTGTTGGGCTCCGCCAGCACATCCACCGCCTGCCCACGCCCACATGCCATGCCATGCCACGCCATGCCAACACAGCCCCAACAATGGGCCCACAGCGACAGTGGGAAGGAGAGAGGGAACAAGGTGTGAGAAGGCAACAAGACAGGCAGAGCTCATTGCGCTGCTGCCGCATTGCATGTCACATGCTCCAACCAACAGACCTCCCCTCTTTCCTTATTGCCACACCTCCCGCACCACGTTCTCACTCATCATTCACCCGCTTAAACTCCGCTGAAGCCACCCTTCCGCACTGCATGCGGCCATGTGCTCCTTGGGCGGCTCACCTTGGGCGGCTCACCTTGGGTGGCTCACCTTGGGCGGCTCACCTTGGGCGGCTCACCTTGGGCGGCTCACCTTGGGCGGCTCACCTTGGGCGGCTCACCTTGGGCGGCTCGGGCACGGTCTCAAAGAGGTGCTTGGCGTCGAGGAGGCGCGGGTCGATGCGCGCGGGCGCCTTGAAGGCGTGGCACACCACGTAGATCTCCGCCGACGTCGCTCTCGACGCCACCGGCTTTGTCGCCTCCACTCGCCCGAACAGCTGCCCGCACCCAGGGAACACAAGCACGCACGCACGCAGGAGGGGCAGGCACGGGAGGAGGGGTAGGCAGAGAGGAGAGAAGACAGTACGTTGACGGTCTATTAGCTGGCTTGGGGGCTTCTTCCCCATAGGTAGATGAAACCAAACCCAATAGCTACATCTGACATTCTAGTATTTAGAACGCTATATTGTAACAAGGAAGGGTATGCAAGGGAGGAGGGACGGTGAGGCCGGGACGACGTGAGATTGGGAGGTGGGTTGAATAGAGGAGGTTTGGCTTCGAGCTTGTCGGATTAGGAGCAAATACGAGCTTGGTCCAGGAAGGGTAGCGGGGTGCAAGGATGGGGAGGTGCAAGGATGGGGGGGTGCAAGGATGGGGAGGTGCAAGGATGGGGAGGTGCAAGCGTGTGGAATGAATGAGAGGGATGAGGAGGATGTTGAGGGGCGGCGAGGGTGGGAGGAGGCGAGGCGCACCTGCTTGAAGGCGAAGAGCAGCGCGTTGTAGTCCTGCGACCGGAACACCTGGCGGGGTGGTGGGGCCGTGGTGGGGTGGTGGGGTGCGCAGGAACGCAAGGAGGGGACAGGACAGGGACACGGAGAGAAGCGTTGATGCCGTTGCAGTGCAGGTATGGAGAGGCGTGGAGAGGTGGTGGAGAGGTGTGGAGAGGAAGAGCGATTTAAAGAGGCTCAAAGTGTAAAGGCGCATCACGTTGGAGTGAGTTCCACGTACCTTGGAGATGAACGTACCTTGGAGATGAACGTACCTTGGAGATGAACGTACCTTGGAGATGAACGTACCTTGGAGATGAACGTACCTTGGAGATGAACGTACCTTGGAGATGAACGTACCTTGGAGATGAACGTACCTTGGAGATGAACGTACCTTGGAGATGAACGTACCTTGGAGATAAACGTACCTTGGAGATGAACGTACCTTGGAGATGAACGTACCTTGGAGATGAAGGTGCCGCCCGGCTTGAGGAACTCGACGGCGAGTCGCAGCGCCTGCAGAGAGAGCGCTGCCTGCCCCAGCGCCTCGCTGAGCCACGCGCCTCCCACGTTGGGCGACCCGTCGTGCACCACCACGTCCAGCAGCCCGCCCTGCCCCGGGGGACGAGCGAGGAGGGGGGCGGTGGAGGACGTATGGGGAGGGCGGGTGAAGAGGCGTGCGGGACAGTCAGCCGGAGAGAAGGGCGGAGGACGCACGATGAAAGGCGAGAGGGAGGGGCGCAGCCAGGGGGGAAGAGGGTGGAAGTGCGAAAGGGAAGTGGAAGGCTGGCCTAGAGTGCCTCCAAAGACTACACCCCATCCGCCCTCCACCCCCTCGACCGCCCCTCGACTGCCCCTCGACTGCCCCTCCACAGCCCGTGGAGCGCCTCACCCGTGGAGCGTGGGGGCTTGGGGCGCTTGACTGACCTTGAGGACTTTTTTGAGGTCGGCGCGGCACTTGGGCGTGGTGATGTCGTGCGTGAGCGTGATGCAGCCCGGCACGGCGCGGATGGGCACCAGGTCCACGCCCACGATCACGCTGCCCATCGGCATGTACTTCGCCGCCACCTGCGCGCGCGTGGGGCACACGCACCGGGGGAGTGGGGGAGGGATGGGCGCAGAAGATGGGGGAGGTGAGATGCGGGGAAGTGGAGAGACGGGGAGGGGGGTTGGGAAAGGGAGGGGTGATGGCGAGCACGGCAATGGACAAGTCGCAGCCGAGGTGCATCGTCTCGTCTCGTCTCGTCTGCCCTCGCCACCACCGTCCAAGTCCCTGCCCAACGGACGATAAACGGCATGGCGGCAAATAAGCCCTTGCCGCTACTGTTGCCGCCGCGCGCACGACAGACGCTGATCGCCACAGCGGAGTGCGCCGCAGCCTGCGCGCCATTCACTGAGCCCCCCTCACTACTGCGCGCCCTGCTAAACCCCAAACATCGCAATCGGCGAGCGGCTGGACGCCAACGAATCAAACGAGGCGAGCAATCAGGCGCAGCCCATGGCCGTGCCGTGGCGCGCTCGGCGAGGCTCACGAGGGTTTGAGGTTCGGGGTTTTGGGAGGGCACATGGCGAACGTGGGCGAGCGGCAGGCGAGAGTCGCCCGACGAGAAAACTCCCGCAGCAGGTCAATTCCACTGCCCACGCCTCTCGCCGCTGGGCTCACCTGCAGCCATCCGCCCGGCGCGGCGCAGAGGTCGAGCAGCGAGCGCGAGTTCTCGAGGAACTGGTACTTGCGGTTGAGCTGCACGAGCTTGAACGCCGCGCGCGACCGGTAGCCCTGCTCCTTGGCGAGGTAGTAGAACTTGTCGAGCCGCCCCTTGCCCGACGTCTTGGACTTGCCCATGGCTGCTGGGCTGGGTCGGCGCAGCAGAGGGTTTCGAGAACGAACGTGGGAAAAAAGTACGGTGAGATGGGAAGGGAGGGGAGGTAACGCAGTTGAGCTTCATATGCATTTGGCGGAACTGTTGCCCACTGATAGCGACATGTGTAACTTTCAACATGCCCGCTGTTACAGTATGAGTTGTAATCTAACACAGCTCAAAATCAATAATACCGGTATATATTACGGTTGCACTAGAATGAGCGAACGAGGGGTTACAATATGGAGAGATTTGTTACGAGTAGTAAATGGTGAAAATTACTATGCACTCCTGACAGTAGCAAGCGAGACACACAGTAAGGAGTACGAAGACGAAAAGGCAGGATGGCGCGAAAGGTCGCGTACGGTTACAAAGGATCTGGACCGTCAGGGCACACAGCATCGGGCAGTTGCAGTGGCGAGGATTCTGCCGGGAACAGTTCGTAATCGTCTGGAGTCGCACTGTTGGATTTCGCTGCAATAGGGGAATGTACCCCTACATGGCTAGCTAGGACGTTTGGTATTCCCCTTGTACTCTTATTTATATGAATGTATTTGCATGCTTTTAATCATCCTAGTCATTTTAAATCCACTCTTATCTGAGGTCTGTCAAACTCATATGCTATAGTCTGTGTAGGCTGTAGTGGGGTAGTTCATATGAGGTACAACACTTTAGGGTTTCCTACTTGTACTTCTCATTCTGCTCAATGCAATCATTCCTCGTTCTGTTATTCACATGGTTTCGGAGCAGGTTCCCTAGTGGGAACAATTTTTTTGGGGCCCACCACGATTTTTTTTTCCTACCCTGCCTGAAGCGCGCTGCCGCGCTTGCCTGCCCTGTCGCGCGCCTCGTGCCTACCTCACCTGCGCCCTTGCGCTTGCCCTACTGTGCGCCGTCGAGCGCCTGCCCTACCCGCGCCATCGAGCGCCTGCCCTTGCTGCAGCCGCCGTCGCGCGCCTGCCCTACCCACCGTCGAGCGCCTGCCCTACCTGCCGCCCGTCGAGCGCCTGCCCTGCCGCCGCCCCGTCGCGGACCTGCCCCGCCTGTCGAGCCGTCGCGGCCCTGCCCTACGCGCCCGTCGTGCGCCTACCCTGCCGCCGCCCGTCGAGCGCCGGCCCTACCCGCCCGTCGAGCGCCTGCAGCCGCCTGTCGAGCGCCTGCCCTGCCGCCGCCCGTCGAGCGCCTGCCCTACCCGCGCTTGCCGCGCGCCTGCCCTACCGCCGCCGGTGGCACCTGCCCTACCCGCCCCTGGTGAGCACCCGTGCTACCCGCGCACCTGCCCTACTAGCGCCAGCCGCGCCTGCCTGCCTGCCGAGCCGCGCCGCCCAGCCGAGCCGCGCCGCCCAGCCGAGCCGCGCCGCCCTGCCGAGCCGCGCCGCTCTGCCGAGCCGCGCCGCCCTGCCCTACTGAGCCGCGCTGCCCTGCCCGCGCTGCTACTGCTGCTACTGCTGCTACTGCTGCTACTGCTGCCACTGCTGCTACTGCCGCCATGGCTAGCCCTACTATTCTTACCTTCGATGCTGAGGGCCGTGCGGTCGACTTTGACGTTTGGGTAGATGACCTGCAGCTCTTTCTTCAGTGCGACTCTAGGGACGGAGTCTCACTGTTCGATCACACGTCCGGCTCCTCTGTTGCACCTGCTGCCACTGCTGACAGTACGGGACTACTCGTGACGCTGTTGCTCGTCTTGCTGTTCGTAGTCACCTGCCGTCTGCTGAGCGCGCACACTTTGGCCAGTTTAAGGCTGCTAAGTCTTTGTATGACGCTGTCGTTGCACGCTACTCCTCCCCTGCCACGGCTGCCCTCAGCCGCCTCATGCTGCCGTACTTGTTTCCTGACCTGGCCGCCTTTGCCACAGTCGCTGACCTAATCACTCACCTCCGCACTAGTGACACCCGGTACCGTGCTGCGCTTCCCTCCGAGTTTCGCGCCAAGAACCCCCCCCCCCATGTACATCACCCTCTTCTACCTAGTCACCCGTCTCCCTGACTCTCTTCGCTCAGTCAAGGACCACTTCCTCTCCCTTTGCCCCACTGAGCTCACCGTCGACCTGCTCGAGGAGCGTCTCACTGTAGCTAAGACTAGCATAGTCGCTGTAGGGGCTTCTCGCGGCGACCCTCGCGCCCCTTTCTTTGAGGGGTGTTCCCCCGTTCCTCTTTTGCCCTCCGTTGCTTCTGCTGCTGCAGTCGACCTCGTTGGCACCGAGCAGGTCGCGGCTGTGTCTGCTCCTAGTGGGAGGCGCCGCAGCGGCAAGGGCAAGGGGGGCAAGGGTGGTGGAGGGGACGGCGGGGGCGGCGGTGGTGGCGGTGGAGGAGGCGGAGGGGGTGGGGGTGGAGCTGGAGGTGGTGGCGGGAGTGGAGGCGTCGGAGGCGGCGGTGGAGGTGGTGGAGGCAGCGGCAGCGGCGGTTGGGGTGGCGGCGGCGGTGGTGCTGGTAGGGGTGGAGCCGCGCAGCGTGGAGGCTTTGGCGTTGGCCAGCGACAGCAGCAGCCGCGTTCCCGTGAGACACCGTCGCCCCAGCAGCTGCGTGAGTGGTACGCTGGGCGTGGGAGGTCTGGGGGTGCTGGTCCCTGCGCTTACGTTCTCCGCACCGGCGACCGCCGTGGGGAGACGTGCGGGCTGCCACACACGACGCAGCGCTGTTTCGGTCGCCTGTCTCACGCCTGGCGCGCACAGTTTCCTGACGCCGCTGAGCTCCCTCACTGGGCTGATCTGCTTAAGTCTGGTGTTGCTATCTTTGATCTTGATTTCGATGCTATCCTTGATGCTATGCATGCTGTGTCTATTAGTGCTGAGGGTGACTGTTACCTGTGTGTTCCGCCCGACCCGGGCATTGTGGCTGCTGCTCTAGGTGCTAGAGAGTCTGCTGCTCCAGGTGCTGGTGAGTCTGCTGCTCCAGGTGCTAGTGAGTCTGCTGCTCCAGGTGCTGAAGAGTTTGCTCTCTCTGGTACTGCGCCTGCTGAGGCCTTGCACACCTTCACACTTGACTCAGGTGCTTCCCGCTCCTTCTTTCGCGACAGCACCACACTCACGTCGCTCAGTCGGCCTGTTGCAGTCGCCCTGGCGGACCCCTCTGGGGGCCCGGTCCTTGCGCACTCCTCCACGGTTCTGCCGTGTCCGGCGGTTCCGTCTGGCTCACTGTCAGGTCTTCACCTCCCCTCGTTCTCTTCACCTCCAGGATGTGTGGGTTGACCAGTTCACTCCTGGAGGTCAGCGTGTGAGCCACTGTACGTGCTCCCGGACTGGTCGACACCTGGCCACGTTCACCCGAGCGCCTGGCTCGAGTCTGTACACACTGACTACTGTGTCCCCTCAGGTAGCTGCGTCTGCGTCTGCGTTTGCGTCAGGTCAGCTAGCGGCCCCCTGCTCGTGTCGCGCTCTGTCGCACCAGACCGTCCTTTGGCACCACCGTCTTGGTCACCCCTCGGTACAGCGCCTTCGTGGCATGCACCGACGTCTCCTTGTCTCTGGACTTCCAGAGACTCTGCCTCCTCTCCCACCCTCGCCTGCCCCTCCCTGTCTTCCATGTGTCGAGGGGCGGCAGCGCGTCGCTCCTCACTCCTCCTCGTTTCCCCCGACGACTGCTCCCCTGCAGACTCTCCACATGGACGTGTGGGGCCCAGCCCGCGTCCGTGGACAGGACCGCGAGCGGTACTTTTTGCTGGTCGTGGACGACTACACGCGATACACCACGGTCTTCCCCTTGCGCATCTGATGTTTTGATCCCTTGGATCCGCGCTGCCCGTCTCCAGCTCCGCGAGCGGTTCGAGACGGACTTTCCCGTCCTGCGTCTGCACTCTGACAGAGGTAGTGAGCCTGCCTCTGACTTTCTGCGGGACTTTTGTCATGGGAAGGGCATTTGCCAGACGTTCACGCTCCCGGTCTCACCGCAACAGAATGGGATTGCTGAGCGCCGCATTGGCTTAGTCATGGAGGTCGCTCGTACCTCCATGGTCCAAGCGGCTGCCCCCCATTTTCTGTGGCCGTTTGCGGTCCGATTCGCTGCGCATCAGCTCAACCTCTGGCCCCGTGTCTCCTTGCCGGAGACCTCGCCCACACAGCGGTGGACGGGGAAGGTTGGCGATGCGTCGGTGTTCCGGGTCTGGGGTTCTCGTGCCTTTGTCCCCGATACGTCCGCGGACAAGCTCTCCGCCCGCGCTATTCCCTGCGTCTTCCTTGGCTTTGTCCCTGACGCGCCTGGCTGGCAGTTTTACCACCCCACCTCGCGCCGTGTCTTGCCCTCTCAGGACGTCACGTTCGATGAGTCGGTTCCCTTTTACCGTCTCTTCCCCTACCGCACTGCCTCTCTCCCCCCCCCGCCGCTCTTCCTTGCACCAGGTCCTCCTCCGGTAGACCCCCTCCCCTCTCAGGGTCCTGCTTCCTCAGGTGTGTCTCAGGTAGACGGTGTCGAGCCTGTCGAGGTAGCGGTTGACTCTGGTGCTACTACTAGGGGTGGTGCTGCTTGGGGTGGTGCTGCTGGGGGTGGTGCTGCTGGGGGTGCTGAGCCTGAGCGTGCGGAGCCTGGGGGTGCTGAGCCTGAGCGTGTGGAGTCTGGGGGTGCTGAGCCTGGGGTTGCTGAGTCTGAGGGTGCGGAGCCTGGGGGTGCTGAGCCTGAGGGTGCTGAGCCTGCGGTTGCTGAGACTGGGGGTGCTGAATCTGCTAGAGTTCCTGCAGGTACCTCGTCTCGGCGGGAGCCTCTCTCTCCACCGCAGCTGCGCGAGTGGTTTGCTCGCCGCTGGAGACTCTAGCGAGGTGCTGCAGGAGCTGGAGCTGCTGGAGGTACTGCTGGTGCTGGAGCTGCTGGAGGTGCTGGTGCCGCTGGTCCCAGGGGTACTCGTCCTCGAGGTACTGGAGCTACTGGAGCTGGAGGTGCTGCTGGAGCTGGAGCTGCTGGAGGTACTGCTGGTGCTGGAGCTGCTGGAGGTGCTGGAGCTGCTGGTCCCGGAGGTGCTCTTACTGGAGGTACTGGAGCTGATGAGGCTGGTG